GATTTCATTGTTCACCTTTTAACCATACAGTTCCATTGAACGAAAAACAGTACCGAGGTATCCAGCACTAATAAATGAAACATATTGCATATGAACAAGCAACGTTATATTCTACCACAGATTAATGCAGCCACCAGCCCAGTGCTCATCAAGGAGGATCAATGGATGTGGAAGGTTCACATCAGTCGGTGATGAAAGCATGCAGAGACAATTGGTTTTTGTCAGAGTTCTTTGTTACATACACACAACAGAGAGATAGACATAAACTCCCATCCCACCTGATCAAGCAATGGTACAGCAGGGGGAGTGTAGCTCACTGGGGCATGATTAAGGCCTTCAAAGAAGTTCATGAAGCTGTCATTGTTGGGGTAAGGGTACCCAGGATTTACATAATGTGGTTCCATCCAACCGTTCGATTCCATCACGAGAAGAACTTTAGCAACTCGAAATTGCAAATCAGAAGGACACAGCTACTGTAGGCACAAGGAAAGGCATTAAAATCTGATGCAACCGAAAATTAGCTAGGAAAACCTTTTTATCAACTATTTATTCAATGTCTACATAAAGTTCTTACATGGTGAAATTGTTCCCTCGGATTCAAGTGTTATTCATTTAACCTGCAAGAAGTAAGCTTCAGACTCCACATCTTAACTGCTCAAAAGAATACATCGTCGCAGACAAACCATCTCGGCATGAGTTAAGAGAAACTACAGAAAAAAACTCGAAGAACTAACACTGCAAATGAAGTTGCTTTGCTCGCAAGAGTTCAAGCCGCATATTTGACATCAGTTCCTACAGGAACATCTGTTGGCCCGCCCTCCTATATGGATGGCAAAAAAAAAGATCGTGAGAAAAATGTGCTTTTGAACTATAAAAGAACAAAATTTGACCAAAAAATTATGAAAGAACAAGAGATTATGAGTCTAAAACAACCCCTTCCATTAGTCTATTGAGCATTTCACAAATACATCAGCAGCATTGTGTATTAACATAAATTATAATAAAACAAGATGACCAAACGTCGTTGCATTCTCTCGTCCATTCGGTCATTTCGCTTCCTAAGCAGTATTTCATGATAATTTTCTCAACAGATTGAAAACCCATAAAGCAAATCACCCCGCATTGCAGCAATTTCATTCCACCAGAGATGAAAGATAGCAACTTTCGCAGCAGAACCAGATTTAATAACCAACAACGACAAAAATACACAGAGAGAGAGAGAGAGAGAGAGCAAAGAGCAGACACCTAAAACTCAAACAAAGAGAGATTATGAGACTCGTAAAGAGGAGACAGGAGACACACATTGTTGAGATGGGTGGTGCATAAGAAGAGGCGACTGAACCGCTCTCACTCTCTCTCTCTCTCTCTCTCTCTCTCCCCCCCCCCTCTCTCTACAAGCCTACGAGTGAGGGCTGTGGCACTTTATGCTGAGTTTCAGGGACACGTTTCCTCCAAAATTATACATTCACAGAGAGAGAGGGAGAGAGAGAGAGATTGTAGCCTGCTTCTGCTTGCTATCTTTTGCTTGTTTGTAGGTGCCAAAAAAAGGAGAGAAGACCGCCTCCCTTTCTTTTGTTTCTTCTCTGTTTTTGTTATTCCCTCTGCAGTTAATAAGCTCAAGAGAAAAAAAAGAAACATATTTATGGTGGGGGTGTTTTTTACAGAAGAAGCTCACAAACAGATTTCAGCCGCCTGTCTCTGTCCACCGTCCATACGACAACGTTTTTCCGGGTCAAGACCCGCGGAGCTGGATTACCACCATGGGGGGAGGAGGGTGGGTAATATCACACATTACTGTACCAATCCCAGCAGAGAATGTTTGTTGAGAAGATGGGAACCATCTGTAACCCATTAAATGACTCTGTGCCTTCCTCTCTCTCTCTCTCTATCTGTATAGGAATAATAGGTTGTTAGTTACTTTGGTTGAATCCGTTGTACCATCATCCAATTAGTCTTATATTGCTCGCAGAAAGAAATGGCAGTGATCAGCCTTCACAGCTCTTATCCGATTGTACAATGCATGAAGATCCTGTAATTTTCAGGCATTTAAAAATCGGACAAAGTACTATAGTTTCACACACTTCCAATATATTAAGTATATGTTTATCTTTCCATATTTCATGGCCTGTTCATCTACGCCGTTTTCTAATTAGGACAATTGGCTTAACGCGCACCGAATATAAACAGTAATTTATAAATAAATAAAAGCAGTGTCTTGTTTTCTCCTTTTATTGTTATGTTCTGCTGCTACATGCATGTGTCTCTGGGCTAGTCCTGTCAAAGAGAAGCTCCGATCATGTCATAACCAATCTTTTTCTGGGGCATGCTGATCGAAAGCCTTCATTTTGGCACAAGTGCATATAAAGATTCAACCTTTTAGCTCGTGGGGTGTTGGAAGACAGACAACTGTTGTTGATTGATTAGTCAATGAATCTGCAACGACACCACAGTCCACAGAAGCCCTTGTTAAGTACAACTTGTTCAAAGTATTGTCATGAACCTCGTCACCCCCCCAGAGGCCAAAAGCTACCATTTTTTAATAGCATAACCACTACACAAATGCCTAGCATGGTGGAGTAAAAGTTCAAAAAGGTAGATAATGAAGAAAGAGAACGGTGTGGATGACTGTGCAACGGGTGGGAAGAGAGCGGGGATGGGGATTGAGATTGACCAAGCAAAGACGAGAGGAAAAAGCCAAGTCCACAGCCGGGGGAAGCCGCATTTGGCAGAGGAGGATGAGAGAGAGAGAGATCATTGCCGTACAGTTGTGACAAATCTTGAAAAAGAAAAGGAAAAAGCAAAATAGTCTTCTTCTTCTTCTTCAGTTTTTTCTTTTTTTTCCTGATCCCTACAATTTGTTCCCACAAGACTTGCTCCTTGGTCCCCTAAACTGCAGCAGCCTTAAAGTAATAAAAAAAAGATAAGGTTAAAAACATTTTGTGCAATTAATAAATACACGACAGTGTCGAGAAGGAACCAAAAAGAACACAAAACCAAGTCACTGTGGACCTGTGGAGTGGTGGTGTTATCTCTTCCCCTGGCCTGTGAGGGTACAGTGTCCATCTCATTTCATCCCACACAGTACTGCTGCTGCCGCTGCAGTCACAGTGCGAAGCCAAGCAGAGCCAGCAAAAGAAGGGAGAAGGAAGCTGAGCTGAGAAGTGTGATCTGCTGACAAACACAATATTTGTCTTTTGTCCTGAGGATTATGTTGCGGCCCCTACCTGCCTAACCTACCCCTGCCCCCAATTTTTGTCTCCAGAAACAAATGAGACTTTAGCCAATTAGCCTCTACCTCTTGTCCCATTCATTCTCAAAAGCTAAATGACCCCCACCCCTTCCCTCGCCTTTAATGATTATCTTGAATCTTGATTCTTTATCATGCCAATGCCTCCACTTTACCAATTCGAGTCACATCTGATTTCACTTAGATGATTACACAGTCCTTTCACAAGGTTATGAGTTCAAACTGTGACATAAGTGAATCTTAGACTAGCTTATGGATTAGACATTTGAATTCTGGCTTCTGAAACTTTAATAGAGTTGCGGTAACAAGACTCATACACCTACGAGTGAAATAAGTAGTTACAGCTCAAAGATGGCATCTGTGATGGGTGTGGGAACCTAACGGTAGCAGTTAGAGGGAGTGGTTGTGGTACTCATCCTTTCCCACCTTCTTGAACTAATTAAAATCAAATCAAATCTGAAAAGGGTGATTTTTGGTACCATTGCAACAATACTTGCTCAAGCTTTTCAATTTGAATGGGCAAATGGTAATGAAACATATCCTGATGTAAACTCTACGTCGTAATTGTCGGCAGTCCATGTGGTGCTATTGCGAAATTCCATATATCTTAAGCTCCATCTTTTCTGCATAACTTGCTAGTGAAGGTAACGATATGTTTCTCCTTCTTACAATCTTGAGTCATTATTGCCTTTCTTTTTTTTTCTTTGGCTGTATATTTCGCTTTTCCTTTCTTCAAAAGAAATTCTGATTTTCATTTGTGTGCTCTGTCTTTCTAATTAAATCCAATACTTTCAATTTTCTGTAGATTAATACTACTAAAAACCCCCAAACTGATACACCTGTAACAAATTTATCCCAAACTAATTTTTTGACCATCCAAAATCCTAAACCGGTACATATGTAACAAATTTACTTCAAACTAATTTTTTAACAACTAAAAACCTCAAATCGATACACTTGTGACAAATATATCCTCCGTCAAAATCTTTTTTTTAATACAAATTTATTTAAATTAAATTAAAAAATAAGAAAATATAGAAAAACTCAAAAAAGGAAGGAAGAAGCAAGCCTACAGTCCCCCCCCCCCCCCTGCCCGCCCCCACATCATTGCCAAGAAGGGCCAACAAAGGCGAGGGAATGGTCGGCGAAGCTGGCCGAGGCATGGCAATCCTCGCCGACAACAGGCAAGGGTCACCAGAACATTTAACTAATGTTCAATTATAAACTAATTTGGGGAGGGTTGCGACCCTCGCCAATAATTGGCTAGGGTGGAGTGACCCCACCCCTGCCAACCATTCCCCCACCTTCGCCGGGCCTTCCCGGCGATGGTAGGGCAGCTGCGAGCCCTCACTTGCTTCTTCCCCCTTTAACCGAAATGACTTTGTTTTAACTACATTAGCGGCACATAAGATAGGAGAAAATAATAAATAAATAAAAAAGTTATGTCGGCAGTTATGTCGGCATTTTTCGTTAGTCAAATTAGACGAAGTTCATTGAATGACTCGATTGCACCAATCTAATAAATTTTAGGACTTAATTGTATATTTTAAAAGTTTTAGAACTCAATTGCACTTTTGTGATAAGTGTTAGTATTTCTAAGTGCATTTTTATATTTTTTTAGGAGAATGTTTTCTTACGGCCCATCTGGATTATATAGCGGTTCGGACTCCGGCCCATCCAACCGATCCGTCTGTCTCCTCCCCTTTCTTCCTCCTCTGATAGCTGCTCCCTGAACTCCCCACGCTCGGGAACTGCTTGTTCGTCAGGAATGAAGCGACCTTCATGCTTGGAGAATGGGTTGCTTCCGTGCTTGACATCGGTTCGCAAAAGCAAGTGCTGATCCCGTGCAAACACATCATCTTCTTCTGCATTTTCTTCCCCATCTGTGGTTAGTTTCTCTCCTTCTGTTTTTCATTCGAAATAGACGCACAATTGTTGCTCTTTTTGACATGCCACGCACTTCGTGTAGTGCTAGCGATGGTGGCAGTCGGTTGGTCGGTTACTGTCTCGTGGGGACGTACCGTCAGCTACTTCTTGATGCTCTGTTGCATCGCGCAAATCGGAAGATGGGAAATTTGAACATGGGTCTCTTTGAAAACCTCGAGATAGGAATAGGAGTGCCCTCCGGATGAAATAGAAAAAAAGCTTTGAGGGTTGTAGAGTGAGTGCGAGAGGATGCAATACGTTGAAGATCGCTTGTTCATTCATATTTATGGCGTGTGCTTCGGCAAGTTCTCGGTAGATGCTGCATTTGCTGAATTTGTACCTGCAAGTGATGCTTCCCTTGAACTCTTTTCTGTCTTCTCGCGAATAAGATATCTGGTTCTTAGGATATGCACATATCTCTCTCGCGTTTGGTTCTTATGGCATTGGACCTGTTCCTGCTGTTCAGAGTCCACCATTGTATTTTTTTTTCCATCGCTCACTCCCTGGCAAATATGTACACTGTGACATTTAGCTCATTCCGTGAAACAACAGCGTGAAAGCTTCTTCCTTGGCAAAGGGTCAGTTTGCGGTCCCAAATTCACATTTGGACGGCACTTATGCATTCCCTATTTGATGCAGCCGACTACAAAAGAGAAATGGCAGAAAAGGATGAGGACTTGCAGATCCCGAGGGATGCCAAAATCATCAAATCCCTACTGCAGTCAATAGGCATTGAGGAGTATGAACCTCGTGTTGTACACCATATGTTAGAGCTATGGTACAAATATGCCGGCGATGTATTGACGGACGCACAGCTCTACTCAGAGCATGCTGGCAAGGGTTTAATCGACTCTGATGACATTAAGCTTGCAATTCAGTCAAGGGTCAACTTCACCTTCTCGCAACCGCCTCCACGAGGGGTAAGCTGGCTGGAAGCTGGTGTTTGACTTTTACTGAGTTTGATAATGCTTCTTTTATTTTTTCCATCTTATGATGCCTGGAGTACTCTTTTACGGTCTTTCCCCTAGCTTTTGTTGGGGTTAGTCACAACAAAATATGATGATTTTCAGCTTGGTGCTATCACTCAATATCTATCAGTGAAAATTGAGTGGTTCTTTACACCGTTTAATTTCCATCCTCCTAAGAATTTCCTCTATAGATCTCCCTGGCTGCCCACTTAACCAAAAGTGAAAAAAGAAAAGAAACAAAAGCAAGATTAATGTGTGCTAGATTTTCTTTGTGCTTTTGTTGAAAATCGCATGATGCAACTACCAATTGCTTATCAGGTCCTACTAGAGTTGGCAAAAAACAGAAACAAGATTCCATTACCCAGAACAGTGGCAGGACCTGGAACCCTCCTCCCACCTGAACTAGACACGCTGATTTTCCCAAATTACCAGCTTGCAATTCCAGAGAAGCAATCTTTGGAAGAACTAGAGCAGGATGAAGTAGCCAAGCTCAATCCATCTCTAGAGCATAGCACGGAGTCGGTGCAGCATACCCATCAGAGAGTCTCATTTTCCCTTTCTAAGCAAACTAAGTGAACAATGTATCATTGTGCAACTGAATGTTGTAGAGGATGTTCAGCAGAACTACTGTGTGGTTGGGTTGGCTATCAATTTTAACTAAGGCGTTAGCCTTTTGGTTTGCATTAGCTTTTGCCTTCTGTCTTGTGTGCCAAAAGCTTTATAGTTGAGGATTTTTAGCCCCCTCGACTTTGAAATTTCTGTCATCGTCTGGTGTTGCCAACTGCTAAGCGGCCACCTTGAATTGTATTTCCATTATAAATGGAAGTATGTCTTGTTCTGGCCGGAAAAAGTGAAAAAGACATGCAGATTTGCCTTGGCTATGAGTAATGGAAGCTGTTGCGCTATAGGTTCCTATTTGCTTAGTAGAATGTCATTGTCGAGGAAGTGATTCTTGCTTCCTTTCTTAGACCTAGCTAGTGTAAGGCAGAGAGCTCTTCTGCAAAGTAATTTGATCTCGTTTCAGCCATAGAAGAATTATGATGTCCTTTTGGTTTTGCAAATCAATCATTACACTAAGTTTTCCCCCCTTTCATGAAAATGCCAATTCTAAAATAGCAAGTTTCTTTTTGTGCATTGATTGTTGTAGATAGTATTGTAACAATATAGATAGAAATTAATTTGGAGTGAACAATTCAGGGATGTGTTGGTTCCAAAGCCTAAACCTGGAAAGCAACCTGTAAGTCTCGGTTCCGTGGCCAGTTCTCGGTTCTACTTAAGAATTGAGTTTGTTTTGTGAAAAGTAGCTTATAAATATTCTCTACATATTTCCACAGCTCATGACATGTAGTTTGTTGGTAGTCTGAGTGGCTTCATGCGGGGCAATTGGTCAGGGTAAAAATGATAATTTAGGGGCTAAAAAAGCTGGGGAAAGGCTACATCCAGTACAGACAGGGTTCCAACTGATTGTTCCTTTCAGTGAACCTACCTTATCTTCTATGGTTAATGGGCGAGTCAGGGAGGTTGTACACCTCATACTTGACTCGGGATTGAATCTCCATGGTTGCAGCTTGCTTGCTTGGTTGGTTTTTGGGTAGAACTGGCGGATCATAGGATCAAATTGGGAACTGAACCAGCCAAAGTCAGTCTCGGATTTTATGTCCATGAACCTACTTGGTTCATCTGATGACTGGCCAGCTTGGTTTAGTTCTCAAGTTAAATCAAGACTGATGCTCACCTGTAACATTAGCAGTTCTAAAGGAAAAAAGCAGGGTTACCTTAGGGGATGTTGTCTTTTATGTCGAGTCTAGGCTCTTGATGGTTTTCTAAGGCAGGTTTCTCATCATGGGGTTAGAAAACCGTTCTTGTAAAAAGACAGAGACACTCGTGTGGTCTTTGGGAATGATAAATTTCTTAGATCACATATAAGCTTTAAATCAAATGAACATCTAAAGGCCATTTTTGGAAGCAACGGTGAAGAAAAGTGAATAGGAATATACCCTAATATTTAGATTTTTCCTTCACTTCCACCGCCCAAAAATTTTAATTTCTTCTGAGTTTTTAACCAAATATACTCCTCCATTTTCTCTCTTTTCCCAAACAATCTAACTGCACATGCCTGTAGTTGGTCAGGAACTTCTGATCGGATTAACGGTCATACTGTCAAAGACTTTAACTGTGTAGAAAACCACTCTCATCGTCTCAAGTGCACTCAATTGATGAGACATCCGTTTGAGCTTGTAAATGTAGAATCTTCATCGTCTATCTAGATCTGAATCAACTTGGGATGCACTCGATTGTCCACTAGTGCCTGGATCTGTAGCTTGTAGGAGGAAGATGGAAATGAAAGATTCTTGGGAGGAGTAGAATTTGTTACTGTTTCTTTATTTTATTTTTTTCAGTTTGCAGCAAACGAGGGCATATAAAACTCTACCTCCACGACCACGGAGTGTGGCATTCGAGATTGCACGAGTGGGGGGGTTTGGGTGATTCTTCCAAGGATTTGAAGTCAAACATATTCCTCCTTGAGAACTCCCATAAAGCTCTTCATCAAGAACAAGTAGCTAGGTTCTGCAGTTTTCGAGGATAATTGAACCCTTATTTTCTCTCGAGAAAGAAGTCATGCACGTTTCACACAGTCATGTGGCTTTAGACAGGAAAATCTATGCATACACCGGTAAATATGGTCGAGCACGTCAAGCCAAGAGCTGCATTAAATATTCCTGTTGGACTCAGCCTTCTTATATGAGAGACATGATATAGAATATGTTATTGGTAGTTACACCACGCACCCGAGTGCCCATACGAGTTAAGCACCTTGCTGTATTTTTCCTGATATTGCTCCTCCTGCTGTCAGAATGAAAGACCCTTATTCCAACAGTGTGATTCAATGGTCCAACTCCATGTTTTTGCCTCTTCACCCCCACTATTCTCAGCCCTTTTCCACCTTCTCATCAAGCAACTTGGTTACGGGTACTCACTGCCAAACATCTGCTTCCTCCCCTCCATTCGAAGCTCTTCCTCTTATCAACCGCTTAGGCCTTCATATGCCCGATGAGCCTTTGCCCTCTCATGGCATATCGAAACAAGATGAGAGCCTGTTTTTGCGGAAAGCTGATGCTGACCGTGATAATGATAATGGCGTAACCGTGGCTCTACAGATAGGACCCCCCATAACACCTAGTCTGGCTCCAGAGCTAAGAAAAGAGGAAACCACCGTGGATGTGGCCGATGCCATCAAGTGTCACTTGGACAAGCTAAGCCAGGGTCACCACTGGATCCCTACTCCTAAGCAGATTCTGGCTGGTCCTCAACAATTCTCATGTCCTGTTTGCCACAAGACCTTCAACAGATATAACAACCTTCAGGTATTAATTGCTGCTTTTTCACCAGTGTGAAATTCTTAAAAAGCTTGAATTATTGACTTAAGCTGATGCGGTTTGTGTCGCAGATGCATATGTGGGGACATGGATCGGAGTACAGGAAAGGGCCCGAGTCGTTGAAAGGAACAATAAGCACAAAAGCACGAGCACAAGAAAGAAATGATGGCGTGATGCTGCAAAGGATCCCATGCTACTGCTGCGCACCTGGGTGCAAACACAACATCCGACACCCGAGAGCAAGGCCACTCAAAGACTTCAGGACCCTTCAGACCCACTTCAAGAGAAGGCACGGCTATGGAAGCAAGCCGTTCACCTGTCGAAAATGCAGCAACAAGTCGTTCGCGGTCAAAGGTGATTGGAGAACCCACGAGAAAAACTGTGGCAAGATTTGGTACTGCGTCTGTGGCTCGGACTTCAAGCACAAGAGATCCTTGAATGACCATGTTAGGGCCTTTGGCCTTGGCCACGCACCTTCATTTACTTGACCTGCCTTATGCCCTCTTAATTTTTTCTCTAGAAACTTTAGGTTGAACAGTAATCAATTTCAAGAAGTGGCGCTGATGTTTCATATAGACTTTTTGTCGGGCCTTAATTCCTTTTGGCAATCACAATGTAAATGAACATCAGAATTTTAATGATGCAGCCGACGTTCAGATTCAACACGAGTTTCCAAAATCAAAATGAAGTTGAATCGTTACGTCTTACTACGTTAACTGGGCTTATAGATCTTAAGACACGAAACTCTGATTCCAGTGAATGATTCTAACATCATAGCATATGTTTATAGCTACGTAATACATGTGATGGATATAAAAGCAAAATATATTTGGCTATCCAGGTCATGATACAAGGGTAATCAAACCGAGTTTAGTCGAACTTGACTGGCACAAACTTGATATAGCCGAAGTCCACTCAAGTCCACATTCCAAGGACTCGATTGACAGTGGCCATAGCATGGCATTTGCGGGAACCGAATCATGGGACTGGTGGGATCTTTTTAATATGTGAAATGGGAGATAGCTATGGGCCTTGTGGCTGATAGAAAGTCTCACTGTCACTGAAAATGGGCTTCCTGTAACTATCCTCCTCTTCATGTTGGCCCACTCTGAGCGTCTCCTCTCTCTCTCTCTCTCTCTCCCTCTCTCTCTGCACTCGCACGCCATCACACGTTCGAATTGTATTGAATGCGATTCAGAGTTAGGAGGAAAGAGGATGGCTATGGCGTACGGCATCGCTTACAGTCATGGGCTTGTCAGCATCAGTTGCAGGGCTATGATGGTCACGCCATACTCGAATCACGTGAAGAATAAGGTTAGGTGCTCGTCTTCAGATATAGAAAAAGAGAGGAGGAATCAGCCCGAGAAGAGATGCCTGAGGTGCGACACTTTCTACGTGGATGCCCATAATTCTCCCGCTGCTTGCTCTTTTCACGGCCACACCACCGGTACTTCCCTTCTCCACAACACAAGTGCAGCTATTTTTTTTTCTTTTTTGTTGCTTTTAGAAGCATACACACATCGATGTTCTGTCATACCCATTCAAATTTATGGTCGATAGATGTCATCCGCAAAGGAAAATTTCAAATTTAGGTGCTCTCGAGGTTCTTTGCTCATTCGATTGTCAAGATTATGACCCTTTTCAGGAGCTGTGTTCTACTTTTTCCAGGCGTTAAAGAAAGCCCCTAATGCTCGTCAGTGTAACCTCTTCTTTTTCATTAAAAAAAAAATTGAGGAGTTTAAGGCCTCGAACCAATCTGTTGATCAAAGACCCACATGATTGTGTGAGATTGTGCTGCTTGTTATACAGCATGTCCAAGTTTAATGCTGTCTTTAAACAGTGAGAAGGCCACTCCCCAATTATGTTCAATATGGATTTAGTAGCAGAGCCGCAGAAGTATGTTATTACCCCCAAGAAATGTCCTATGTGTCTTGAGGATTTGTGTCCTTGTCCTTAACAATCCATTTTCGCACTCTTTTTTCTCCGCGCGCCGTCATCTGAAGCTAGGGAATATAGCATTGGCAATTAAATGTGCGGGACCAAAGTTTGGTAGATGTTATTAGGGGTCTGAAGCTAGGGAATATAGCATTGGCAATTAAATGTGTGGGACTGAAGTTTGGTAGATGTTATTAGGGGAGAAGGGATTGTTTGCATTGGCTCCACCGCACCAAGGGATTGATGGTGAGTGGAGTGACCTATCTGGAGTAATCGTGCACCGCTGGAATGAGAAGAGCAATAGACCAAACACGGGGAGGGCCAATTGGAAGAGAAGATGGAGCTGCTGTGCGGAGTATGACGAGAACGCTCCCCCTTGTCGACGAGGATGGCATGTTTCCTATGATGATGGCTTCACTCTGTACTAGCCAAACACCTATCCAATCCTGCTGCTGCTTTGCGACATTGTACATAGAAGCAACAGCAGTCATCCAGTACCAGAATGTTTGGCAGCCGGTTCCTAATATAGAGGTTTTGGAGCTATGGTTTTGACAGACCCGAGTGTGTTGCATCATTGCTTCTCCTGGATGGAGCCCTTTTCAGATGAAAAGGCAAATGCTGCGCACCAGTTGATTGATGTACTTATCAATTTTCAGACCTGTCCCCTGATTTCACAGTTCATGGCACGGCTAATGTGCCTCTGTATGCATCCGCACAGGCATTTTATGCGATGGGTTTCTGACCTTCTCTACATATCATGAGAAACTATGCATGAACTCAGAGTGAGTGCATTACAAAGCAGACAAGCTGCAAAACTGAGGCTAGTAAGGATGGTTTTTGCCAGGATCACATTTGCCTCGCCAAGAAGACAGTTTATTGCCTTAAAACGAAAGGTTCAATACATCAGTTCCCCTAGGTGATCCCAGCACATTCACCTTATATCTGCACCTGTAATTAGTCGATCACTGTGACTCCGGGATGGCTATCAATCTATGAATCTGTTCTCTTGATATGTTTGTTTTACGATCCCAATGGACCTTTATACTTTTTCTGTCTTCATTTGACATAAGCTTGACAACGGAACAAGAAGACATCATTGGTACAGGAAAAGGAAGACTAGTGATTGTCCTTTCTGACTTAACACGACTTCCCTGGAGATGGAATGCAGAACACCTTCCCAACCACCTTCCAGCTTCTCTCCCCAGCCCTTTGTAGTCGACAATAAGTTACTACCCTCAAATGCTTTGGTTCTTCTTGCTCAATGACACAGGGCTTCAGAACTGTTAGAGACAGTGTAGGTTTAATGAAACTTCTCACGAAATTTATCTGAAGAACTTGTTGAAAACCATCTCAACGTTATTCTACTTTCATGTTGTCCTTCCATTGACACGAATGAAATTGAATAGTCTTATGATCCAAGGCCATGTCCGAAACTGTTAGGCTTAAAAATCACTAGATTGCGTCATTTAAAGATGGGGTTCCCGAAGAAAGAAAGAGTTATATCCTAATAATAATTCAAGATTTACTGTGTACTTCATGATTATATCAAAGCAATTACGCCCATAGTTTTCTCTTAACATTCTTCTTTATGAATTATTATGCAACCTATCATGGAAACAATCATGGAGTATTAGATATTACCACTTGCAATCTTTCCCCAAGAATTACTTCACATTTGATTAAGATGAACCTTCTAGCGAACTCTTGGGGTACTTAAAATAATACTCACTTGGGCCAACACGTGCTATGTGCACTCTATGTGGAATAATCAAACCCTATCAATGCTTAGTAATACATAAAATCTCGGTCAAATTATTGCCCACGTTACTCACCGAATTCGTCGGTGAGTATTAGTCGAGTCGAAAAGTTCAAACATTCCTAATTATTTAAAATCAATATGAATCATAATGCAAAGATACCACCGAGAAAAAGAACAAGATCCGCCATCGGTCGCTTATTGGAGTACGATCATTAACATAGGAAAGAAAGAAACTAAAGAAAACTACCAAGGGCAACTTTCAAATTTCTTCTCGTGATGTTACACGTTCACATATTTATCTTTGATTTTCATTTGTTTTGCAGGAAGTAAATGATTCCGAAAGTATTTTCCTAAAAGTGATCGTTTGTATAACTTATATAAATGAAAGAACGAAAAATATTTTTACCGTTCGCGAAAATGATTAGACATTAATTAATGACAGTAATGAAAACAATTTTAATTGACTAATTATTTTAAGCGATACAAGGCAATCGTTTTTGTAGGCTTCGTATCAAGAAACGCATGCATCGGGAAACACGTCATTTCGAAATTGATGTCCATGTCCAAGCAGGCACTTAATATAACTGAAATTTAATCCACAGGAAAAAATACAGGGAGGTGGCTTAACTTGAATCACTTGAAGAGAGAAAATTGCAAATGGTAATTAGCAAAAAGAGTGCAAATTGCAAATGCCGCTTTCTTTTGGGTGCTTGACGGGGGAGTTACCCACACGACACGCGCACGTGCGGAGCGACGCGTGAGGGTGTTGTTCAACGGGCGGAGGGGGGACACCGCCCAAAATGAAGGAGGAAGAGGAAGAGGAGGAGGAAAGCCCTAAAAAAGCAGGGGCGTCTCCCTTTCATTCTCGATTTTCGCTTCTTCCTCCTCTCCTCAGTCCTCAGCAAAGGATCCAATCCAATCGTCCTTCTCCTATCTTCCGATCGAAATCGCACACGGAGGGAGAGAGAGAGAGAGATACTGCAGATACCAGAAGCTGGTGTATTTTATATAAATCCTCGCCGTCATGTCCAAGAGGTGTGAATCTGCTCCTTTCTCTTCTTTTGCGGATTCATTTTGTCTCTGATCATCCCGGGCTTTCCAGACTAGTAGTTGTTCTTGTTGTTGTTGTTGTTGTTGCGGCTTCTCTCTGTGGGTGAATGGTAATTGGCAGCTTGCTCGCCACCCTTCCTTGTTTTCCCGATTGCAAACGGTGGTCTTTGATGACTGAGTCTTCTGTTCCTCCGGCGATAAGCCTTCTTCGTGATTACGTGCCCTTAATTGTTTTATAAATGAAAAAAGAAAAAAAGGCTGTCTTTATCCGTTCTTGCCCTTTTTCTCTCCCAAATGGGTGCATCGATGCGTGTGAAATGCTATAGGTGTTTAGTGTCGGTTCGGTCGAGGCGTGGGAAATCTCTTGCCTTGACGCTAGGTTTGTTCGAGGCGCGACAGGGTTCTCTTGAATTCGGGCATTTCGGCTGCCCTGTGATTGTGAATTTTGTCGGATGGCCATGAAATGGCTTCTGGATATTGATGCGAGGTTCTTGTTCACCGGTGGATTAGACGTGTGTACCTGAGAAAAAGAAAAAAAAAAGACCAGCTAGGGTGGTGCCGGTTTTATCGACAACCTCGTAGATCATGAAGCTGCAGTGTATCTGGTTATGAAAAAAAAAATCTATCTGCTTCTTTGTATTCTGTTCTGCAAGTGGTTTCTTCTTTGACTTAATTACTGTGCGATGCTCTTCGGAAGCCACTCTGTCATTTAGCCTTCTTTGGCTGAGAAAATGGCCTTATGACTCTAGTTGTGCTTGCAGAGTTCTTTGCAAGTTCTTTGCACATGGTGCTTGTTTGAAAGGGGAGCACTGTGAGTATTCACATGACTGGACAGCTCCAACGAACAATGTACTCGTCTGCTTCCACAGGCTTTTACAATTAGCCCTGAATCAATTCTCTGTATTTGCTATTGATCCCCTTGATTTTTGCGCAGATATGTACCTTCTATCAGAAAGGAATATGTACTTATGGAAATCGATGCAGATATGAGCACGTTAAGGCTTCTCGTCCATGGTCCGGTGCGTCGTCGTCATTGTCATCGTTATCGTCATCGTCATCGTCATCGTCGTCCAGAACTTCCTCACAGCCCCCCATTTCGGGGTCTGTTCCTCAAGTCTTATCTTCTAGGAGTGGGGTCCATTCCAGCTCCAATTCTGTAGAGGTTACTTCACGAAGTAGACCTTTAGGCCCCCGTAACCAACCTGCATGGAATCGAGGCTTTGAGCAGCATGATTATGTTGATGGCAGTGACTTCATAGAGTCTAGAACTGTCAGACCAGCTGATCAGTCTATATGCTCATTTGCTGCCGCCGGCGATTGTCCTCGTGGAGAAGCTTGCCCTCATATTCATGGAGATTTATGCCCAACATGTGGGAAACACTGCTTGCATCCTTTTAGACCGGAAGAAAGAGAGGAGCATATGAAGACTTGTGAGAAAAAGCAAAAGCAGCTTGAGGCATTGAAACTTAGTCAAGAAATAGAATGCAGTGTATGCTTAGATCGTGTTCTTTCGAAACCCACTGCAGCTGAAAGGAAGTTTGGTATATTGTCAGAATGTGATCATGCGTTTTGCATAACGTGCATCAGGAACTGGCGTAGTAGCTCACCAACTACTGGAATGGACGTGAATAGTTCATTGAGGGCCTGCCCAATTTGTCGCAAGCTTTCTTACTTCGTCATCCCCAGTGTCATTTGGTACAACTCAAAAGAAGAAAAACAGGAAATTATCGACAACTACAAGGCCAAACTCAAGTAAGGACATCAAAGTATCCCACCCACCCACACACACACATATTCGCTTAGAAATTTTCAGTTTCTTGTTGGCCTATCGTTGGTATGTTATGAGGTGAACTAAGAATATTTATGGCTTTATGGTTTCTGTGGACCGTCTGTTAGTCATCTTTGGATTGGTTCCAGTAAATCTCGTCTGGAATTTGTTGAGATTTACAAGCAGTAATAGGTGAAAACTTTGGTCATTTGCATAATATGCTACAAGCTTACGATCTGCTTCTTGACTGCAAGGCATAAAAATACTTTCTGTAAAACATAATCATGTGGCTCTGCATAACTTGCGCACGTTCCTTTCCTTTCTTCTTCTATTCTCGAATTGATTTCTCTAGCCTGTTACTAATTTGCAGGTCAATTGATTGTAAGCACTTCAATTTTGGCGATGGAAACTGCCCATTTGGGACTAGTTGTTTTTACAAGGTAATGCAGTTCCAAGCTTGAGAGTATTCTGATTTTATTGCAGTGCTTGCCTTGCCCTATGTATACTTTAAGTGAGGCTTGTTTGATGGAATTCATCTTTTGGCCTACTTGCTTTCTCCTGCGGACGATTGTGAAAGGATATGCATTTTCTCCACTTTTTGGTGCCTGTATTGGTTGTTTCTCTCAAAAGAAGATAGCTCGCTGGTAAAGTGAACATGGAGATGAGCACATCTGTTTTTAATGTAGCTCTGCGTCTTTATTTCAGCTGTATATTGTTTGCAGAGGCATCTCCTGTTAGCTGCATTTTGCACCATCCAATTTATAGGCTATTTGTTAAGTGAGTTCTTTGCCAAGGAATTTCTTGTAATCTGTATGTTGTGATATTCAATTGATATGCCTGGTGCTCAACACCATACGTGGAGAAAATATGTGGTTGTTCTTCGTTTGTTTTAGTCCATTTTTCCCCATTTTATAGTCTATGCATGGGTGTTGTTGCGTCTTACTATGGGGGAAACCATCTTGTTCGAGCCAAGTGTCTGTTTGGAATGATTCTGACTGTCAACTTGTTACTTTCCAATATTGCAGCTCTTGTAATGTGACTTTTATCTAACGCATAGTACCCGAAAATCTTCAAAAATTACCAATATTAACATGCGTGTTGGCTGTTTAACTTTTTCATATTTTTTACTTATACAATATTCAAGTATTGGAGCAAAAGTGGATAAGTAACTTTTTTGCTTAGAAAAGTTGAAAATGATACTGGGCTGACGTGCTTTTCTGTGCTATATCTGCTTCTTTTTGCCATTTGGTGCAGACTAATGATCTGACTTGTAGCACTTTTGATTTGTGAATATTAAAATAAATATTCTTTCTTCCATGTTTGCCATTAGGAGCACCATGCAGCTCTAAGCTTTATACCTGAACTCGTTCCCCTGTGCATCTAAATGACTCAGTAGGCTTCAGAAAGGTGTCAAAGAGGACAAGACACCCACACTGTTAATTGTGTGAGACTAATGTTATTTAGAAAGTAATATTTTATATTATCCTTATGTAGAGTTTGATTGCTGAAAATTAAGTCTTCTTCCGATTGACTAGGATATGCAACCTCCAATCCTCCCTTGCCGGCTTGGTTTGCTCCTCATATTGCCGATGAAGAGCGGTTTTCCATTTATTTAGAACTTGAAGTTGGAGTTCTCTTGTTTCTGTTGCACTGACTTTGTTTAATAACAGCCTCTTTCTGGAATTTGAACAATTTCGATAGACTTCAGTCAAAATGGCCTTTCCTCTGGAAGAGTTGTATGATGATCAAGTTATTGTTGATTATTATGCAATTTTCTCCCATTGACTTTGGTGTATTTGAATGCTGATATTTGAAAAGAAGAGGAAGAAGAGGTGGTGGTGTCTATGTATAATTCTTTTGGGTCCTATAGAGAGAACAAGCTTGTCTCTTAAGTAGTTAGTTGCATTGTTGTGGTCAAGATGAAATCTTGTCCTCGTCTGACTTCTGTCGTTAGAATTATGAACGTACTTGTCATTTAATGTACGCTCATCCCAAAGATCTTTAGGCAATGGATAATACCCTAATGGGTATCGTGTTTGTTGTTTCCAGCATACGGTCAAGCCAGGGTCATACACATGGATACATCACAGGCCACCTCCTCGCAGACGCAGGCGCAGGCGCAATCCTGCAAATATGGATGCAATGTTTGGTGTTTTTGAGCATTTACTTTTTCTTGAGAGCCTTATGGGAGATGAAGACTTGGATTTCTATAATGTTGAAGACACCGATGACGATGATTTAACACCTGTGGAGATGGCTTTTTTATTGGCACAACTGGGGATTAACTCGGGTGATTCATCAAGTGATAGGGAGTAGAGGTCCTTGAGTTCCAGATTTTAGCCGGTTGTCATTAAGTTGGATTTGATATTTGGCAAACTGGCATTTTTGCATAAGAAAAGAAGATGAAGCTTGTAGTTTGTTTCTGTTCCTATCAAATTCTGTAATTATGAACCATGAACTAGGTTTTAACTTGTGTGGGCTTTTGATTTGATTAAAGTCAGTGGTGTGATGCACCGATGTTTGATTGGCATGGAAAAACATTTCCTTAACATTTCTGTGGAGATGATTGGAAATTAATCAAGCTATGTGAGATTCTGCAAGTGTTTGTTTGGTTGTATTTTAATCCTAGTGTCCCCGCCGGCAGGCATCTTGAAACCTTTGCTTTACATTCATGCATCTCGCTAATATTATCTGAATATATTGGGAGAGAGCTGACGAAGCTATGAATTATGGAATGGGCATTCTACTTACTGGTGCCTCTACTGGATTTATGCTAATTAGTGAAGGATGCTTTGACTGGATTAGCACTGTTATGTGATTTGGCATTCTTGTAGACATGGAAATTTGGTGGTTTGTCTTTATTATATTGTAGTGTGTGTAAAGTTTCTATGTGACAGTTGGTTGATGGCCGTTTACTGGTTGATGTCCCTTTTCAATTTGAGTAGATCTGCAGCTATCATGTGATGGACTTTAATCAGATTGTCATAATACCTACGTAATAGATGTTATGTGATTGCAGCACGCATACAGAGATGGACGGCTGGAGGAAGTTGTTTTGAGGCATCTGGGAGCTGAAGATGGACAAACAGTGATAGCCAAGGATATTAGGTTTTTCATTAGTGCTCTTTATGTCTTTCTTCAATGTTTTGTTGACTATCATCCAGTTGCTAATTCTAAATGCTCAGTTTTGGCCTTCAATTGTTTATTTTGTATTAGCTTCTGCTAACCAAGTTTAATATATCTCCAGGCTGTCGGACTTTCTTGGTGACCTACGGATTAGTTAAGCAGTGCCATTAGTACATTCTAAGGGTGAGTTAATTCGTTATTTCCGGCATATGGTACGATAATCCCTTTTGTTGTAACAAGTTCCAATGAGTTTTCATTAACTACTGAATTTTGATTCCAACATCAGACTAGCCTTTATTTTTTTTTGGCCAGATGTTAGACTGGCTTTTGTGTAAAACAAGAAGTCTGTACAGGTTAATGATAATGTTTTCGTCATTTTTGCAGCATGAATGCCTATTTGAAGTATTTGTGAATTTTCCTAACTGTTGGCATGGCATCTCTTCGTTGGTTGTTGAGGTGAGTTTGAATTTTAGGTTTTCCAGTTCTCCATATATTTCTGTGAGATACTGATAAGAAAACATTATGCTTCCCCAATCATAACTGCCTCTATGGACTGCTTGATGATTATTTTCTATCTGGAGATAAAAGCTGTTGTTTGCGTTGTTGTTGTGCTTTTGAGGCACAAGGAGTTAAATGTCTTTTACTGTCTGAAGTGATACAAAGTCCATGTGTGCATGTCTCGTTTTTCTACACTAGCCTGGTGCTTATGTTGAATGTGAAGATGATCTTTTCTAAAGCTTGGGCGAGGACTTAAGTGAAGGCTTGCTGGAGAGTTAAGTCTTTGTTCTCTATACACCCTTGCTATGAGGCTTGTCGCTTTCTCGTCGTTAGACAGAAATAGCGAAGGTCCTTTGTTGTTTGTAGAAGCTTCTTCTGTCAGTGGTTGTTGCTCTTAGCAACATTCGTGAGATACTTTCGCATTATATGTGCTTATCTGTCCCATTGTGTAGACTATGGGGGGATTGTTTTTGCTAATCTGCTTGGCTTTAATAAGAGGCAAGCTTTGTTTCTGAAGTATCCTGGACTTTGTTGAATAAAGTGGGCCTTGCAGAACTTCTAGTCCTCGATTTCTTATTCTGGGTAATTTGAGGCGGTCCTACTGGGCAGCAAGGTATGATGTATAAATTTCTTTCTTACACCTCTTCCTTTTTGTTTGCATCAGATGCGGAGTTGTCTGCCCTCGGAGGTTGAAACAGATTCAAAATTTGGATGCTTTGGATATGCAGATCTTTACAATAAAGTAAAATTGTATCTGGAAAAGAATAAGGGGGTGAAGAAACATGGGGAACGCATATACACGTTTTTTGTTGGGAATGGTTTTCTCCATTTGGCTCTGATCTGTGCGTGTGGTATTTGTTGCTGACACTCGCGGTCCGGAGCAATGGGATACTTGTGAAAAAAGTCTAGTGGTGATATTGATTTGGCTTCAAAGTGAAGTCATTAAAACATTTCTGAGTGCGCTGAAAATGATGGATCATTAGCAAAATCCCAATCCCAACAGCTTGAAAAAGATAAAACCGTTATGGCATCTGGGAGGAGCAGAAGTTGACCTTTGAAAATGCGGGGAATCCTCCGCATCTTGCAAGTGGCGGTGGCCGTGGTATTATTCTCTTTTAATCCGATGGCGAACCGCTCTAATGATTAGGTTAATAGTAAGTATCTTGACTAAGGAATGGCAAGGAATCACGGCTCACATACCTGGTTGGATTTGCATGGGTCGGCCAAGAAACATTGGATGGCGAAAATCGAGCTGCAATGTATAAATAACAGATAGTCATCATAAAGATGGAAGGGAAAACTGTACCGTCCAATTGAGCTAAGATAATAGCTCGTTCAAAGTTTTTAGCAATCTCTACGCAGCTATCGCATCCCAATGGGGTCTATTTCCAAAGGGAAACAAGTAGTGTAAAGGCCATTCTAAGACCCCTTTTGGTGTCTGAGCCGAGCATTTTCGTAATTCCTACAAAAATAAAACTGAGGAGAGGCCGATTCATTTAAATACGTTTCGTTTAACTCGGATGAATACTATGTCTAATGTGACTTTACTTGACTATCACACCCGAATTTTATTCAATAATTTGCTAATGGTTGCTTTTGGCAAATGCCTAATTGTTAATCATATGTTGTTGTTCGTGAAAATACCAGCTTTAATTTGCACTTTAGCAAATAAGCTTTCGAAGTTATCTTAGTGTATCTCGGTTCAATTCTATTGACAATTATAAAGGGTGGAACGTGAATAACAGAATGAATGTAACGTTGCTAGGGAAGTAAATGGATGACCAAGAAGGAAGTGAAATGCCAAACGATCGAGGGTCACTTTATTCGTAGAATAGCACACGAGCACAAGGGAGCCATGGAATGCCAACACAAACACATTTGAGACCTTGAGGAAAGGTTGATACACCTGGCCAAGTCGAAATTAGACCAGATTAATCGTTTGTTGAGCCCAAACGGCAGAAGCTATGAGTTGGGATTTGGGAGTGTCGTTTGCTTCATGACCTTGAGACCAGCCTTGAAGAGAGAGGCAAAGGCATCCATTGTGGCCTTGGGCAGAACTATCCCGACTTCTATCCCACCTTTCACATCCCTGCTCTCGTGCAACGAAATGGCTTTGCTCTTATCAATCGATATATCCTCTATTTGCATGGGCCGTCCCCACCCGAAATCCATGTCGTAGAGGTCCACTTTGGGCGACCCAGCGACGGTCACGTGGAGCTCCGACTCAGAGAAGGCCCTCCAATCCGAGATCCACCGCTCCGCATCTGCGAAGAGGTCCTTGTCCAACCTCTTGACCGTGCTCCCTAGAGCGTTCGCCGCGACGACAATGCCATTCTCTCCAACCAGTTCGTGGACTGTGGCCTCCGCCCGACCGAACCCGACACAGTTCCCGAAGTAAGAAGCGGGTACCGGATAGCCCAAGCGGGTGAGGCCGCCGGCAATGAATCCGAAGTAAACCGGGCCGCGATGGGTGGTGGGTTTTGGATTGTTGTGGGCCTGAAGGGAGAGATGGGCTTTCACGCAAACGACCCAAAGGAATGCACAGGTGAGAACATAAGGAGACAAATGGGGTGGGTGGGACAGATTTCCGGAGCTGCACCGAGAAAAGATCCATTTTCGGATGCTGTCCATCTCAGTGGTGCCCACAACAAAAGTGGATCGGACCATGTGGGGGAAACCAGCACCGTTGACTGGTGATGAAGGTGCCTGACATTCGCAGCTCCACCACTCGAAGAGGAATCTGGGGAGCAGGCCCCGTGGATCCCTGAGGACCGTCCGGTCGTAGCAGGGGGGAGCGCTGAAGAACCCGCGGAGCGACGGGTGAGGAGCAGGAGAGGAAAGCTGGCGGGAGAGAGAGGCCCAGGCCTTGAGGAAGAGGTTCAAGGTTCGGGCATCGGCGACGACGTGGTGACAGGCGAGCCCGAGGCACAGGCCGGAGTTGGGAAAGACGGTGACTTGGGCGGCGAACAGAGGGACGGGGGGGCTGGAGGAGGAGTTGGAAATGGGGGGCAAGGAAGGGACCAGAGGGTGGAAAAGGGCGGCGTCTCTGGGGTGGTGGGTGGAGAGACGGCGAAAGACATCCTCATCATCAGCAGCAGCAGCAACAGTGAGAGAGACGGTGTGGGAGGAGCAGAGGAGGAGGAGGGGAGGGCGAGGGTGGAGACGGAGGCGGGCGGAGAGAGGGAAGGAGTGGAGGAGGGAGCGGGAGAGGGAGAGCTTGAGGAGAGGGAGGGCGGTGGAGGTGAAGTGGGAGAGAGAGTGTGGGTAGGCGTAGAAGAAGAGGGGCTGCGTGGGAGAGAAGAAGAGCCAGGGGACGTCCATCATGCTCAGCCCCACCTCTCTCTCTTCCAACTCTTGGGTGGAGGGCGGTGGTGGACTGATCTCGCAACGCTCCACCACCTCAACATCAATCCCCATTTCGCCTCTCTCTCTCTCTCTCTCTCTGAGTCTCTCTGTGTTGTTGAGGTGAGAGAGTTGAGAAGTTGCTTTGGCTACTAGTAAAGTAAAGAGACGAAGCATCAGATCTGGTCGTGGACCTCTCTTTAATTGATGTTTGCGTTGACTCTTAGTTTAGTTCAGGACCACTTGCGCTCCCAAAGTACTACCGTAAAAAAAAAACGTGTCTCCAGTCCACGCCACGCCGAAAGAATATTGGTCCGACCTTACTGCTTTTAGGAATATGACGTAAAGATAATTAATCAAAGATCGATGCATGTCTGATCAAACCCTACGTGGCTTCGCAGAATATGGACCTCTCTAAACGAGGCCGACCGACCAGGCTTCACGTAATTCTGCGACAATGGGCCTTGTGACACTCGACTCTTCGACTCTTCTTCGGCCAGGCTTCATTCGACATGCAGGAGTCCCTTCTGTTGTTTCATTAGGGCCAAGATGGCTTTCAACACCATACTTACTGCCCCAAAAACCAGAGGGACGATGCACGTGTATGTATAGTCTCTGTTATGTATGCAACACTTGGAAGAGTGCTTATCCCAAACCTTGCTCCAGAAAAAAACAAAAAAGAAAGAACACAACCAGCCCACTTTTGCTATTTAAAATCTCATGAAGGTTTGCTTTTGGCGACATCCATGAGCATGCGCAACGTTTCTCAAATGGGTATTCCCATCGATTTCCAACAAGCGTCCTTGCCAATCGGGATAGCCGGAAGCCTTTAGCCATTCTTTTCTCTCTTCTTTCTTTTTCAAACGCGCGATACCAATCTCCCAAGAGTTGTATCCTTTGTCGGTTGTCGTCGATCTTGCTTAATCAACTCTTTACCATGGAGATGAAGAAGATCGCATGTGCAGTTCTCTTCGCTGCCGCCGCAGCCTCCATGAGCGCCGTCACGGTGGCCACCGAGCCTTTGGTGGCTCCTGCTCCCGCACCCACCGGCACAGCTGCCGCTATCTTGCCCGTGGTCGGCTCTTTGGTCGGTGCCTCCCTCGTGCCATTCCTCGCATACCACTTGCATTAGATACCGTTGAGAAAACAGGAAAAGAAACAGAAAATCGAGAGAGATGGTATTCGGGAGAAGAGAATAATTGCTTCGGTGCAATATGCATATATGCTGGGATAGCGAAGTGAACGTCATGGTTTCAAATTTTTTTATTGGTTGTTGGATCTTTGTTTTTCTTCTTGTATTAAGTTGGGTTAGCAATTAAGCAATTCATGTTGTTGTGGGTGTCCATCCAAGCCCATGCCCAAGCCCAGTTAAAAGCCATGCAGTCCACAATGTCTTCAAAACAAGGGAGGATAATGACATAAATTGATCATTAATCTTTAGTATAATAACCAATATGATTTCTAAATTTTTAATTTATTCAATATGGTATCTGAAAGTTTAGCTTAGTATTCAATATTAGGGGTGTCAGAACCAAATCGAAAAATCGAATCGAGATACGAACCAAATTGAAAATTCATATATTTTCGGTTCAGTTCGATTTCGATTCGGATAATAAGTAAATGAATTTAGTTAACATAACGATTCGGTTCGGTTCGGTTCAAATCGATTCGGATTTCTGTTTTTTAACGTGTTTTTCTTCGCTTCGTGCGCTCTCTCTCCTCAATCTCGCTGTTCACTACAGCTCACCTCTCACTCACTTTTCTCTCTCTCTCTCTCTTTCACTTTTTTACTTTATTCTCTCTCTTCCTCTGTCTTCGCACTCTCTCCTAACTGCTCTCCTCTCTCTCTCTCTCTCTCTTTCCTGCTTTATTCTCTCTCTTCCTCTTCCCTCACATTATTATCATCTCCCAAAAAGTGACGAAACACATTTTTCTCTCTGGCTTCTTGAAGTTGGGCCAGGTGCCGCGCTTGAGGTGCTCGGAGGCGGTCCGCGACGGGTTGGAGGCGAAGAAGACAGCCTCGTAGAGGGAGTGCCGGAGCTTCACGGCCTTGGTGAGGCCGGTGTCGGCGTTGTGGACGAGCATGGGCTCGAGGTGCGCCCAGTACCACGCGCCCTTCCCCTTGACGGCCTTTGGCCGTAGCATGACAAGCCGCTCGTAGCGCTTGTTCACGGCGTCGGCCGTCAGCTCGTCGGCCGATGCCGACATCGAGACCGAGTCCACCTGGGCCGGCGACGGCGGCTCCGAGGTGTTTGTTGTTAGAGCGGGTTCAGTCGCCGGAAGTTCGGTCTCCGGCGAGTGTCCATGGCCGACTCCGGTGATCTGGTGGGGCCTTTCGGTGGCGGGTCATCAATTGACCTGCTTCTTGACGGGAAGAAGAAAGAAGCAGCAGTCTCACAGAGAAGGGAAGAGAGAGAGCGGAAGAAGAAGAGGAGGAGGAGGAAGGGAAGAAGTGCAAAAAAAGATAAAAAAGAAAAACCGAAAACCGAACCAAACTGATCCGAACCGAACCGCATTTTCAGTTCGGATCATATTCGGTTCGCGTGATGTTTCAGTTCGGATCAAGCACACGTCTAAACGGTTCGGTTCAGTTCGGTTTTTCTAGACACCCAAATCGAACCGAACCATTGACACCTCTATCCCTGGACTTTTGTACTTGTTTAACGTAGTCTATAAATTATATTACGTAATCCTTCAATTAATTTAATATCATGTACAATATTAAATATTTTTCATATAATTTATAGATTAATTTGAGCATGTATCAAAATATTTAGTGATCACATTAGACATTAAGCTAAAAATCAAGAACCATATTGAACAAATCCTGTTATATATTAGGTAAAAATTTAGAGATTATTTGTCCCATCTTCCCCGAATAACAAATACAAACGACTCACGACTCCCTTCACTCCAATAGTCCCCGCCTCCTTCCTTCCTACCTTCCTTCCCTTTCCTTCGATCTCGTCTGCTGCAGGCGGCGATGTCAGCTCTGTTGGCCCCTAGGTGCAGGGAGTCGAAGATCAAGCTCCTCGCCGCCGCCCTCCTCCGTCCATCCTCCGCCGTTAACCCCGTCCCTTCTCCTCCCTCTCGGTCTGCTGTTCCCCACCACCACCACCACCAGCACCGCCACAGCCGCCCGTTCCCCCAAACCCCGACCTTCCCTCGCCTCCCCTCTCACCACCATCCCCATGTCCTCCCACCTCCTCCTCTTCGCTCCTCCTGCTCCTACTCCACCGCCTCTCCCTCCCCTTCCGACAAGCCTCCACAGCCGACCGAGTACCCCAGCCAAAACCCCAACTTCAAGCACCAGGAGATCGAGGGCCCCACCGTGGAGCGCGACCCCTCCGCCCTGGCCAACGAGACCCGCCAGGTGCTCGAGGGTTTGATCAAGACCCTGTACAGCTCCAGCAAGGCGGTCGCCGCCCTGGGCCTCCTCCAGCTCGCCCTCGGCGCTTGGATCTCCTACCTCACTCGCTCCTCCCCCATCTTCGAGGCCTCCCTCCTCGGCTGCGTCGCCTTCGGCTTCCCTTTCTCCCTCGCCTTCCTCCTCCGCCAGTCCGTGAAGCCCATCTTCTTCTTCTTCAAGATGGAGCAGCTCGGTCGCCTCCAGATCCTCACTCTCTCGCTTCAGGCTGCCAAGAGCTTGAACCTCTTCTTCGTCCGGGCTCGTGGGGTTTCCTACTTCTGTGCCGGGGCTCTCTCCTTAGGTGTCTTGTTCACTTTGCTCTCCAAGTGACCCCACTCTCTCTATCTCTCTCTCTCTCTCTCTCTCTCTCTCGTTTTTCGGCATCCTTTTTGTTTCCCTGGCTTCTCGTATCTATTTACACACGGCACACAATTCATGGGTTTACCAAATGGCTGGCCCGTCCCTCTTACGTAATTTGTGAGGAGTAAGAGGAGCCAGAGGTTTTGATGTGTGGCCCCTGACTGTTGTGGAAACCATAAATAAGTTGCCCTGAAAATCAAGTCCCTACTTGCAATGGCAGGTTCATTCTGTCAAAAATTGTAGTGCTTTCTGATAGATGGTCTTCTTATACTTTACTTTACTTTACTCTAGCGTGTTGTTGTGAAAGTTGAAGATGATGACAAATATATGGCTGCATACATGGTCCTAGCATATTTCTGTCCAGTTTTGCTGGATGTGGCAGCATTAGACTGGACACATTGCCCAACCGTTATGCAATCTCCCTAGACATCCAATTAGTTGCCCTCATTGTAAAGTAGCAAGATCCGGATTAACCTTTGGCCAGTAGATGTAGATATGCCTAGGTATTCGATTCACTTGTCTCTGTTGTTGCGTGATATCTAGTCTTCTTTATTATAGTTATCAGTAGTGAGACGTCAAAATGTTCCTTATGCAATGGCTGCCTACATCCTTTCATGGTTACTCTTGTCATCTCTGTCTGTGTTCCGCAAGGCTGGTAGAGGGCCAGTATATGTCCAAGTCTCCTCTGTCTCTCTTTTATGAGTTAAGTTGCAGTGGCAACTTCCCAAAAGCAGATAAATTAAGTGTTCATTTAGGCTGATAGATTATATTCTATCGGCATAAACATGATGTCTTTACATAATTGCGTGTTCAATGGGGAGCACCTAGTCTTTGTTTTTGAGTTTGCCCAGAAGTGGCATTTGGTAGTACTCTCCAGTGACTGGATATGATTGTATAAGAGTAGAGGTTAAAGGTGGTTGGACCCATCAGCTGGGCAATGGGCATGCCCCTCAACTCTAATGGTGGTTTGCTCTCCTTCTACCGGACAAGACTCTGGACTTAAGCCTTTTCTTCTTTGTAGTTTGCACCGCTCTATCTTGCAAATGGTCCTTACATATCAAATGGACATGGCACCATAACGTGAGGCGGAATTTGCTGATATTCCCAAGGCGGAATTTTCTGATTATAAGGTCGTGACCTTATGAGTATGTATGCTTCATCCGCTATATTTAACATGTCGTCCCATTTCATCAAGAGAACTGAAATATGGTAAGCATGATATATGTGTTGGTCGTGGTGACCTTTCTATACTTAAGGGCATATTTACTACAGCTTAGGTGGGTGAACCAACTCCGAGGGTGTATCATTGAGTGTCTATGCGCTAGATTCGGCGAACCATTCCAAGTCTACCAACTCTGATGGTTGTGATCCCCTCGATCAATAAAAGGGTTTTAGCAATTTGACAGCAAATCTTCTTTTCGCTGTACCGTCTCTGTTTCCTCATTGCACTTGACAGAACGTCCTGCCCTGAAAGTCCCGGTTGGAGTGGCAAGTAGGAACTTTGATCGCACAGAGATCATCACATCTGAACCAAACTCCATCCGTTTAGCTTCGTATCTCAATGGTCGTGAAAAGGCACCAGACAAGCAATGACTACAATGTGGAGACGGTTCTCGTTCTCAGTCTCAACTAGATCCCTGATATATAACAAATTGCCTCCAGCTAACATACGGCAGATCCGAGAAAACTCGCATGCTAAACAAGTCTCATCCCAAGATGCCGAATGTATATCACGGTACTAATGGATGATGCACGGCTGAGACGGACCAATAAATGTGGACCGAGATCCGAACAGTTTGTTTTCAGTGACATGGCAGCTAATGTTACTACCAAATGCACATAGCTGATTAAAGAATGCGCGACATACGGTGTGAATGGCACTGTATTTCAGCAAACACATCCAACACACCAGATTGCATTTTCTTTCTGCCATCTTGTAGCCGTTAAACCTCACGTAGGTAATTACGAGTACAAGCAGCCTTACAATCGAGTAAATAAGCAGGGCAAAATTAAGAGAGAAATCGTTCCCAAGTTTTGTAGAGAGCTGTCATGAAGTGGCGTTCCAATGTATGAACGAGCATTTCAGCATATCATCTTCCTCTATGCTTTTCTTTTTCTATTTTCACACCTTTCTACTTTATAACCGTCCAATAAAGTCTAAAAACAAAGAAGCAGGGCCAAGTCCTTACATCAAAACAAGAACTCGAAGAGACCTACGAATCCCTATCCCTATTCACATAATACAATCTCGTCTCTTCATATAAATTGGGAAGAATACAACCAAGCTGCCAGTGAATTACCAAGAAAACATTACTTCCGCCAAAATCGCATCAACGCTTTCCGAAACCCTATATCCTTCACTTGGAAGATCAAAACTTTGTATGACCCAAGAAAGATGATGTCCCTTCATGACACAGCTTGACTAAACATGCAAGTATAATGCACGTGTTTCACATTCAAATGGAACTGGATTTTGCGGCTTTAATTGTCTTGAAGAGAAACAAGTTGAGGCATTTTCCGCCATTAACTTCCTCGAGCACAACTTTACCGACAAACTATGTTCCGCCAGTGTTCTCGCTAGGTTTAGACTCGGTACGCACGTAGGTAAATTTCCGGGCACCCAAAAAGGGGATGCTATTGGCAGCAACACTACTCCCACCTTCTGCAGGAGTGCCCTGCGCATCCCGCTTCCACTGCAAGCTCCTTGCACCAGGTCTGATAGGCAGACGAGACCGGAATGCACCTGGAATTCCTCTTGAAAAAGGAGCTCTGGAAAACCTTGCATAAGGAGAGGCCCTTACAAGCCGTGGCCAGGTCATTGGAGAAACCTTCTGAAGAGTAGTATTCCGCTTCACAACCTGCGAAAAAACATATTGAATAACCAAAAGAGAAAAAAAGTAGTTTCTAGAAGCAAGTATTTGAGAAAGAGAAGAATTAAATACAAGAATTTTCCCCATAAAAGTGCTAAAGAGACGCAATAATAGACCCCAAACATGGACCAATGAGCATCCACCAAAGACACAGCAGGGCCCCATCACTTCATAACTAAATGTTACCACTCGACAAGATCACCCATACTAAAGAAACTTCTACCCATTTAACAGCAGCAGTCAGCAAAATATGACGGGGCCTTTCATGTAACACTCCCCTACACTCACCAATAGCCAGCTTGTAGCCAAGGCTAGCACTGTGAATAGTTCCTCATACTCCACCAAAATGAAGAACCAAGAACATGCTCAAGGAATCGTAATGATGTTTAGCAGAGAAATGCAATCAACAGTGGCCAGACACTATATGGTTCACATGACTACGTGTTTGCAACAGAAACTAAGACTGATCATAGCATATGACAAGTCTATAGGATCCTGAATGAGTACCCTGAGAACCCGTGACATAAAGGAGGACCCATCCAAAGAAAGTGCATCATCTGCTGCCTCTTTCTTCGTGAACTCCACAACAGCTGATCTGCTTAGTAATGTGCACCAAGTAAGAAACACAAAGGAAAATAATATTGCTCAACAGTTAGCAGAACTTTAAGTTCAAATCACCAAAATGAGACAGCAAAGGCATTCAAACCGCTTACCCTATTGGTTGTCCAGTCGCTGCATCAGTATTAATTATCACTTTCAGTACTTCACCAAATTTATTAAAGTGCTGAGAAAGACTATCCTTGGTGGCAGCGGTATGAACCTGTACATGAATGAATGACCATCAGTGAGAAGCTTACTGAGAAAAAGGAAACATTTACCAAGGACCAAAAGAAAGTCGATTATTACATTGCTCACAAAAACAGTCCGAGAATCAGTGTCCTCCAAAGAACGAGTTGTTGAATTTAATCCTGCGAATTAGCAAACATAAAAAAATTCAAAAAGTAGAACAAGAATTGAACTAACTTTCCAATTTAAAATAATCAGAAGCTGAAAATATATAGCATTAACTCGTATTGAAAGCTCGATTGCTCAAATCCTGATGGAACGATCAATTCAAATAGTTTGCATTCCATAAAATAGATAGAATGGTAATATTGGAAAGAAATGAAAACACACCCGGAGTTGATGATAGCATTTTCTGAGACTCTTTGGGAGTATCTGCAGTAGATTGTGCCTGTAGATCATTCACACCCCAGAGACCAACAATTTCAGCACAAAGAATAAGCAGCTAACAGATGCTCGCTACTCGGAGAAAATAATATTGGAGACTCGAAGAAGCATCTTACATTTCCATTAACAACAGCGATGTGTTTCTTGTTCCCTATGACCTGTCCATCAAATTTCTTTGCCACTGCCAGACTTCCACGTGGAGGGTGCTGGTTGTCCAGCTTAGTAGCATCATGTCCAGCCTGTTGATGAGGAGGCTGCCATGAATTTGCATTCACAGGAATGTTAGCCATCCTATGGGAAGAATTAGCTGTCACAGGCAGTTGCTCCATCTTCTTGTTCCGTTTAAAGCTAATATCATCTTCAGTGGTCTCTGATATACTGTACTGCATCATCATTGAATCTTCATGCCTGCTTCCACCATGTATGTGAGTCTGAGGAAGATTGGAGTGCCCGGTAACTTTTAGTTCATCATACACTTCATTGTCTGATCTATAGTCATATCCAAGAGTGCTTTCCCTCTCCATCATCCTCATATCCCCATCATAGCTTTCATCATAATCCAGTCTTTGAGGCTTAGTTAAATCGGTATGCTCCACAGTTTGGTCAAAGTCGTCAAATTCTTCTGCAGCAACTTCTCCAACAAGCTCAGGCTCTGAAACCTCCACTGCACGACTAAGTCTATCAAATACATTTCCCGAAGGTTTTACTTTTCTCACATCTCTGGCAGCTTCTGCCACAGCTTTTATCACAGTCGCCATGGCATTTGGAACCCTTGCGACTGATCGGATTCTTGGAGGCCGATCAACTACATCTTCTGAGGCTGTCGAAACCACAGAACGAAGTCGCTTCAAAGTAGATTCTCCAGCAGAGTCGGAAGGTCGGGAAGTTGCCACAGCATCTCGCACAGCAAATTGCAGCAACCGTCTAGGAGCATCAATGATTTGAGAGTTCGAGTCCCTCTGCTGAGAAGCAAATCAGATCAAATTTCCTCAAGAAATATAAAGGCCATGCAAAGTAACTCTTGAAAGGAGAGTAAGAAGCAAAACTTTAAAATTTTATTATTTAATAGATATATCCCCAGAAAATTTGCATGATCCACTGAAAAAATACTGTCCACTGTGAATAGGAAGCCTATTCGATAGGGAAATGAAAGGCATGACAGAAATGGAAGAGCGTTTGAAGAGCAGCACCATTGCAAGCAAACTAATAAAAAAGATGGACAATCAAACCCATTCCTTGATTCAATAGAAGCTAAAAGAGTTGAATAGGGTCCCAAATAAGGAGAGATAATTAAAAAGCGGGCCCAGGAAGATTCACTAAGTCAATTCGATAACTCCTATAGTCCAAAAGGTAAGCAAGGTAAGAAAGTAACTACTTAGCTCTAATAGTATGCAAGATCTCCGTGTAGAAAAGAAAGGAAAAATCGTTTGATTCGAGGCGGATCCCTTCTTTGTTTTCCTGAGTAAATGTCCAATCGAAAAAATCTTTTTTGTATTGGATGCGTAATTCCTCCATTTTGAGAAATTTTTTCCCATAGAAAAAATGGATTTATTCTAAAGCAACTTTCAAGTCTTCATTTAATGCCCCAGTCCGGAATCCACATCGATACACAATCCAAACCCCTACCCTCTATTCAATGGGCTCATTCGACTAAGATCATTAGCGAACGAAAACCGTGCATGAGACTTTCAACTCGCACGGCTCCTAAGTGATAAAGGAAAGAAGAACTCATCTTCTTTCTTGTTTGATTACCTACCTTGCGTACGTATATATCCATTTGGACACCTTAGAGGTTCTAACCGGGGCCGGTCCAGTATGGAAT